TTTCAAAAACCCATAATATAGGCTCTTTAAATGATTAATTCACCCCAAAAATGCTAATTCTAGATGAATTTTAGATGAAATCCGAGAGTAGGCATGGGATGATAACTGGTTTTAAGGTTTACCACAGTTTTAAAAAGTCATTATTTTAAAATGGCTAAAATTTTTATACCATTCCTAAGGTGTATGCAAGTTGTTTTTTTATTAAGTAATATTTTATTTATTTAGGCCAAACAGTATCTTCAGCAGCAAAGGACCGTCTACATTAAAAGCTACTGGTCAGCCCACGATTCAGCAAACATTTAAAAAACAATTCGCTTATACACCAACATCCAACCATGCTACGGACCTGAATGGTGCAGTGTTGTGTTCAATGGGAAACAAGTTGTTTTTTACCCAGATATTTAAGATCAGAATCAGCCTATCCGAGAGCTCTCTCATCCTCCATAGACAGTAAAGGTTCCAGCTTGTTCAAAGTGCAGAAAAGAGGAGTTTTCATCTTGACCATTTCCACAATCATGGTGTGTACACAGTCCCTTAAATGAAATCCCACATAGCAAAATTTCTCTGGCCCAGCTCTGGCCCACACAATCAGGTTTTGCTTGGCCCACATGCCGCAGTGAATTACGGTACATGACTGGACCAAGTCTGGCTTCCAGACAAGGGCCAAACACAGACCATATCTGGGCCAAGTCTCAGCCAAGTTAATAACTCATAACTGGGGCTGAACTGGGCCAGATAGGTTGGCGTGTCACGATTGCAATGAAATTGATAAACCCATGGAGTGATGCGCTTTAGGCACACTATGGGCACGCTTTTTCTCACCTGATTGGTAGAATTTTTTTTCTTTACTCAAAAATGATTTAAGTGTATTTTAAATGTGGGTCAAGACTGGCCAAACTCACATGGCCCGCTTATCAAATTTTTAAATATGGGCCAAATACTACATTTTTCATCTGGCCCAAATCTTGTGTGCCGCCTTAAAAACGGTGCCACCTCTGCCAAATCCGGGCCATGTTTGGCCCACATGCTGTATGCCAGTGCCGGATGAATGCCTGCTGTGCCAGCTTTTTGCCAAATCTGGGCCAGAATTCTTTGCTACTAGGGATGCATGAAGCAGAAAGCACTGGTCATTCTGTGCAGCACTTGTATACAGTCCTCTGTAGGTCGATATGTAAGTATTGAAAAGAGTCCACAACTCGTGTCTGAGCGCTCTGTCAGTGGAGGCTGGTGCAGAGCCAGCCTGAAGTATGAATCCAGGTTAAAGACATGTTTTTCTAAAAGGATGTCAGGAACGGATAGGATATTGTTTGACCACCCGTTCTTGTTCAAAACAGGGCCGTGACACACCAAGCCAATGCCAAAAACGAGCACCAACAAAACCCAACTGTGTTGTTGCCTTGCACTGGATCGCTTCTGGACCAAAAAGCTGAACAAACCAAAGGGACAAAAGTCGACTAAAATGAGAGCTGCGCTCTTATCTGTTTTCTCGTTACTTTAAGGGGACCAAACAGCCGGCCTCTTTTTGATCCTTTTTGGCTTGAATTGTTTACTTGCTACATCACTTCACTACATCACACTCATGTCTGATTCGTTGCTAAATAAGCAGTCAGAGTGCTCTCTTTCGCCAACAGCGATTTGGCATGCTGAATTGGGCCAACAAGCTCTGATGTTAACCCAATGAGAGCCGACGTGTGGAACACACCAAACCAACTAGCCTGACCGAAGGACCGATGAACCCCAACTGCCAACTTATATGATTATAATTTTGCATCTCACAAATGTGATCTTTCTCCACATAACTATGCTTACATCATACAATTACATTTTTGTTTGTGACACAGAAAAAAAAGGTGATTTTGACTTTTTTATCTCACGTTTCTGACTTTTTATTCAGAATTTGGAGAGAAAAGTATTTTTTTTATATTTCCTTTCTGTGCTGAAAATAAGCACTGTCACATTATTACAGTCTTCTTCTTGGAGGGAAATCTTTCATTTGCTCTTTATTTTATCTCAGTGGTCTCAAAAGGAATCTGTGTTTTTAATTCCTGCAGGGATGATCTGCCTTTTTGTGTTGCTTTATAATTGTCTCGTTATAAATGATTACATGTGTATTTGCTCTCTCAGTATTCCCGTGATTCAATCCACAGGTTCTCAAAGTTCTCCTGGACAAAGGTGCTGATCCCAATTTAAGGAGCAGCTGGAGAGAGACAGCAGAGGACATCGCGAGAGCACACAATCAGCTAGCCGTCATCCAGCTCCTTCAACAACACCAGACGGTCAGCATGAGGGAACAAGCTCAGGACAGTATACAGCAAGAGAAGAAATAGCAGTGAATTAAGGTCTATTTTACACAGGATGATAGCTCTAATATTTCGAATAGAATTGAAAAGTCAACACCACGACTATGATAAGTACATTGACAGTGCATTTAAAGTGGCAGATGACAACTGCAGTGCACAAGCCGTCTTCTTTAATTCAGAAAGCTGTTGTGCATTTGTGTGGATGCTGATGTAGTTATCTTTCAAGTTACAGTTCTTGGTGTGAACAGACATTTAATTGTTTCAAGTGGCATGGGAGGAATTTTCATTGTCAAAATTAAGTCATTTTAATTGGTAGCTGTGCAAGTTGGTCACCCAAAATCACTGTACCGACCATGAGAAAGCTTCTTGGTTAAAATGACTGTAGTGGTAACTGTGGTGCTTAGTATTTTGGTGTAAAGTATGGTTCTTATATGTTCTTAAGAGGTTCTATATGGAGATAAAATTATCTTTAACATTCAGAAACACTAAAGTGTCCATTTCTAATAAAGAAGGTTTCCTTTCTGCTCATTATAATGGAAAATGTTGATGTCAGTAGTTTATATTAGGAATACTGCATTGAAATTTAAAACCATAAAGAGAAATAAACGAATGTAGGATGTGCGTTGTCTATGAAGCCCAGGGGTGCCCAAAGTGTTTCATATAATGGCCCAAAAATAAAATGTCATTATGAGCTGTGGGTTAAAAGTAGATATACCAAACCTTATTACATTAAAGTTGCCATGGTTAATTTCCTAATTTATTTCCTAATATTTAAATATAAATAATAAATAAAAAACATTACTTTAAATTGTATTAATGCAGTGTAACTTATAAAATAAACTTATTGCAATAAAACAACAGTGAGCAGTGGAGTTCAATGCTGAATACACTAGTCAAGCAGAATCTGTCTTTGCCTTCATTTGCTCACCAAAGTCTCTGCATTGTCCTCTGTCCAACTGTACATATAAACTAAGTCTGATTAATTTAAAATATTTAATTGAAATATTTAATTTCAGTTAGCTTTTAACAATAAAACAAAAGGTTACATTAGATTTGAAATCCCCATCATTCTTCCACTCTTCTCAGATGGGATGGCGGGCCAAATCAAAGGTTACTATGGGCCAACTTTGGCCCGCAGACCCTAGTTTGGGCATCTCTGATGAAGCCTCTTCATCAGCCTTATAGCTTACAAGCAATTGTTTATTATCTAGTACCACAGATGCTTTTCATGCTCAAAATAAGAGTTTCTCTTCAGAAACTTTTTTGTTTTATCTTCAGATATGATTAGTTATTTTACAATAGTGATTAAAACTGGACTCAGACTTTAAATGTAACCATTCTAATAAAAACAAATCAAGATAATTATATAAACTTTTCAATGTCAACATTTGGAAGGCAAATTTGACTGGGTTTGAAAATAACCCTTAATTTAAGGCTGAAAAAATTGTTTTTTTTTTTGACAATTTAACATTCCAAAGTATTATTAAATTCAACTAAGAGTTATTACATTACATTTTTACATGCGCAAAACATCAGCAGCTGTAATAAATTATGCAGCATCATACTTTTTCAGGCATTTTACCAGTGAATATTTTCAAAATAAGGTTCTTCTGGTGACGTGATGCATCAGCATCACGGGTGTAGTACGCACCCGCGGATGGATATGTACCACTGATTTTGGTTCCTGTTATCAACGTCACTGCGCTTCCCGTCAGTGTTCAGTCACTAGCAGGAACTGTACAATACACCTAAAAATATCCAATACCCATATTACATAATACACAGTATTACAATTATATAGGTTCTCAAAAGGAATAGCCATAATAACGTATTTGTCCCCACTAAGTAAAACAGTTTTGACTCGAAATGTCAACACAAATTATGAAAACCATTGCTGATTATTTTAATGTAATAAATTGATGTACAAATAATAACATAAAAAAGAAAGAAGAAAAAAACACCACAACCAACAGGAAAGACAAACATTCTTCACATATTTATTTATTTATTGTAATTGTAATATTTTAAGACATTTAGAGAACAGGAAATCCTAGCAATAGACAGTTTTAGAAATAGACATAGCAGATGTAACGTTATAAGAATTTAAATTGCCAACGGAAATGTTTTCACACCAGACTAATTCACACTGCTAAAAAAAAATGAAGCAGAAGTTTCTTTGGCAAACATTCGTAATAATAGTTTCTTTTATAAGCTACAGTGTAATTAAGTTTTATGTTTATATATTTACTCTTTATTTTACGCACATAAATTCATTTTATTCGGCTCTACATGAGACGGCGGATGTGTACAGATCTGTAATAACAGATTTCGTCAGACCAACGTTCAACCCTTACCGAAATACAAATACCTGGAAATGAAGGGAACTGCCTGTTTTAAGTTCCATCTGCAGGAGGCGCTGTAAAAATATATATTTCGACTGACACAAACCCTGTTTGGCAATGCATTCAATCTAAAGCATAACCAATAATACACAAAGTGTAGAATTAATTCTTTTCAGAAGATAACTTCTGTATTGGTGCAAAAATAGAACATTATTGAAAGCTTACAGCGTTGAATAATGTAACAGTATGTCCGATATATTTTTTTTGGTCACATGACACAACTCTGCACCAATCAGCGAGCTGTCATTTAAGCGGTCGACTGGATTGTTGTTATCCGCTCTAGGTTACAAATATATTTCTAGATTGTAACGTCTTCGGCAGGTACCGACGACAGCGATCATGGAGCCGTCGATTGTTAACATTGCCGGTCCCGCCGCAAACACGCCCGCTAATAACAGCGAGGGCATACTAATAGGGGATAAAGTATATTCTGAAGTCTTCCTTACCATAGACAATTCACTGATTCCAGAGGAAAAGCTTTCCCCGACCCCGTCTATGCAGGATGGCCTCGACCTGTACACCGAGACCGACCTGCGGATCCTGGGCTGCGAGCTCATCCAGTCCGCCGGAATCCTGCTGCGCCTTCCGCAGGTAATCGACTCATTTATTAGACTATGACAATGGTAATATAAAGGAAGAGCTGTCAAATAACGTTAACTGGGACATTTTGAGCTAATCATTAGCGTCTGCGACTTTTATCAGACAACCCAATAAATACAAACATCACACGGACTAGAGAAAGTGTTAATAAAATAATAAGTTAATTTTGTTTTAACATGGTGTATAATTTAGAGGAGAACGATTGTGATTTTCTATATTTAACGAATGATGTCCGTGTATGCTGGACAAAAACAAAATGGCGGGCGCTGCTTTTGAGACAAAACGGGTTTTATATGGAATCCTTTTAAAGAAAAATCCTAATTATGTATTTCAGGTTGCCATGGCTACTGGACAGGTCCTTTTTCATCGCTTCTTCTACTCGAAGTCTTTCGTGAAACACAGTTTTGAGGTAAGAGAATAAACGCTTGTTTACAGGCATTGCGGGTGGCAGCCATGTTGTTTGAGCTGACGTTTAGTCAGATTACAGCTAAAACATAGTGCTGGGTGTGTGTAAAAATGGATGTAAAATGCTCATGTAAGAATAGATAAAGTGTATGTATGTGGATGTACAGCTTAAATTTAAGAGGCCACTCAAAAACTTCATCCAGTATGGGATTTTATAAAATTATTATATTTGCTTTATTCTATTAACAGTTCTTCCAAAAAAGGAATAATAAATGGCTTATTTTAATGTAATTTGCCCCAAATACTTTATAATATTATTTAATTTAAATGTAACTCAATAACATAATTGCAATTTGATATTTTTTTAACTGTATAATTTATTAACTGTACAATTTTAGCATATATGTATGCGTGTACATGAGCAGAATATACACAGAGCAAAATACTGAGCTATTTTTTTAACAGACTAGTATGTACACAAGCTAGTTGTGCTTTAGTCGCCGTAGCAACTATGCAGATAATTAAAATAATGGGTTTTATTGCGTAGTGCTTTCTGCATCCACTGTGAAAGCCACTTCACCTCTAATAGAGATGACAGCTGAAGTAAAATCCGGTGCAGCCTAGTCTTTGTTTCGTTACACTCTTAGGGGCCAATCCACAGAATGTGCTTTCTATGTTGTGAGGCACCTTTATTGAATGATTTATTGACGGCTGCGAGTGATTTGCACGCTACTCATAGGTTTCAATGGCCTGCTGCACCCTGCACTTTTGCCATTGCGCGCTTGCACTTGAAAAAAATGTCACCTCTGAGTGGAATAAGCGTGTTACGTCAGTCGCGTCGTTTTCATTTTCCAATCAAATAAAAGCAGAGGCGGGGTTTCCGTTGAGGTGACAGCAGTGTTTGTGTTGTCAAGACGATACGGAGACTTTTGAAGATAGAGACTAGTAGTTACTGTTTTGAGTTATCTGGAGCTGTCTTTCTTTTCTTTTTTCTTTTTGTCCACAAAAAGGTGTGCTTCGCATTTTTTGAACTTAAAAGCACGTTAATCATTTTTTTCTTTTCGGGAAACTGAAAAAGCCCTTTTGGCTGATAATTTTGTGGTCAAAAATTTGGTGCTTCCACATACATTACATTTTAGAATTGGGGTCCTTTTACATATGTAAATTTCTATTTATCTGTTAATAGCTTCAATAAAGTGGAACCCCCTTGAACTTATGTATGCTTGGTTTCTTGTGTAGCAGTGTTTTGACATCTCTTTTTGTCATCTGTTCTCTCTCCAGATTGTTGCCATGGCATGTGTCAACTTGGCTTCGAAGATAGAAGAAGCCCCTCGACGAATTAGGGATGTCATCAATGTGTTTCATCATTTAAGGCAGCTCCGAGGCAAAAGGTAAGCAAATCCCAGTCTCTCAGGCTTCCTGTCACACCCTGTTTCCTTCTGTTCGTTACCTGTGCAAGCAAAACCTCCCACCTTAACCAGTTTATTTTCCTTTGTATAACATTTAATGTCATCACCTTAAATTGTAAACGATTCAGGAATACTTAAAATATGTTACCTGTGAGTAGTCTGTGCACTTCTGTTTGTCCTTGATATGATGTCTTAATTTTGTTTGCTTTATTCTAAACCATTTTAAAGCTTTTCAGTTCCTTCATCAGTCATAATTGGTAGTAACAGCAGGATATTCTGATTACCTGAGCAAGAAAAATACATTCTGATGGATCTGACGTTTAATCAAGGATATATAATGCCAATTGGACTATATTGTGGGAATTACTGGCTTGTCTAAATTCCTTATTGAGTTATAAAGCTATTTAAAGAGATATTAAAAAGGAACAAAACAAAAAATGTTCACCTAAAACGAAGGACATGGTATTAACTTGAATTCTTTTTTCCCTTGCAACCAACTAACAGCGACCAGCTACATTTACCAATGCCTGGGTGATGTGGAATGGTACGTAGAGATGAAGCAGTCGGCATGGCAACAGTGAGCGAGGTGTCGCTTCCCCCCCTCCCCCGGGAGAAGCCAGTGGTCTGAAAGCGGTCACTGGGATATCGGGGATCGACAGGTTGGCCGCTGGTCTGAAGCGTCTGGGTGACTCCTGTATCTCAGTTTAAGCTTATTGTCTCTGCCAGCACAGGTGATGATCTCAATCTTCTTTTCATTTTGCAAAAAAAAAGACACCTCACCACCACCACACATGTCATAGCTTCCACAGAAATGTCTCACGCTGCACATCCTAGATGGATCTTTCTTGTGTGTTCATGTGACAGAAACTGTCATTTTTATTGAATTACAAAGTTGGGTATTGTTAGATATTTATTGTTTTAAAGTTTGTTCGAAATGCGGAATTATGTCGTGTATTTATGTTAAGTCGCGAAATGTTGATGTACAGTTATTTGAGGGGTTTTGTCAGGGCATGTTTGCATTCGTCGTTAGAAATCTTTGATTGTTTTGTGTAGATTTGTTTATGATAGTTATGAAATAAGATTTCTTTTCAAGTTTTACGTAAAAATATAAGAATTAAAGCAAATTTAGACAAACTATCTGCATTTCTGGATGTTGCCGTAAAAAATGAAAGCATTCTGATAAGGACTGATTAGTTCATAAAAATTTTTTAATACAAAGTGTATTTAAATATGTGTAAACCCGTTTAATAAAAAGCGAAAACAAATTTTTAGTAAAGTAAAAGAGAGACTACATTAATTTTATATATAAATTTTTCTCGCTTTATTTATTTTTTATTGGTCTATAACTGGAGTATATTATTATTATTATAATTATTATTAGTAGTAGTAGTCGTAGTAGTAGTATTTTTAGCCGTCGTCATAGTAGTCCTAGTAGTTGTAAGATTCATAGTCGTCGTCTTCTCATTATTATTATTATTATTATTATTATTATTATTATTCAGCTGTAGAAAACTACATTTGATGGTATTATAGATAGTTTCGCTTCTGAACACCTACCGTATTAGCATTATAGCAAGAGTACAGGCCATTTAAATGCTTTTTACACTAGAATTGCTGATTTACTGATTTTTGAGCATGTGGTGAAGGTGACTAATGTTATGATTACACCTCTAAAACCCCATTGTGCTATTCTCAGATTGTGACTCAGCACTGTTAGCATGTTATTATCTTGTTTTAGAAGCAGTTTTATTTATGCTTTATAAATGCTTTAATGGCTATTCTAAGACTATTTGTGTTGTGATTTTGTTTCCCAGTGTTGACATAGTATAACAGTTGGATTTATGCTTTCAGTTGTTTTTAAAAGACGTGTATCTAATTTCTGTTGAAGCTATGATGTGGTGAGAGGTGGAGCGCTTTGTTTTTCCTCCAACAGTCACTTGTGGCAGTGCGAAAAGTCTTACACTGAAATTACAGGAGTCAAAACACTGGACCTGTTGCCTGTAGTTGGTTGAAAGGGAAATGGAATGATTTGAATTGAAAATGAAGCAAACAAAAAAAGGCACTTTTTTCATATTCTTTAATAGTATTTGGGTCGTGGGAAAACCATTTTACTTTCGTTCCTTCATGAATCAGGAGTCCAAGTCCATTGATACTTGATCAGAACTACATAAACACCAAAAACCAGGTGATAAAAGCGGAGCGGCGTATACTGAAGGAGCTGGGCTTCTGTGTTCACGTCAAACACCCACACAAGGTACGTCTACCATCTCACTTGATAGCAGCACAACCTTTTTGTTTTTCTTGTTACAATTTGTATGGACTAGACATGGGTCGTTTAACCTACAGTTCATTCAATCATTGCCTTTCTAGATTATCGTCATGTACCTGCAAGTCCTTGAATGTGAGAAGAACCAAACATTGGTCCAGACAGCCTGGTGAGTAAATAAGCAATCTTGCATTAGTGTCTCGACACTGGAACATAATCAGCCCAGTAATGAACCCTCTGCCTCTGTTACGTAACTTTTCTGTCCTCTCATCTGATGGATTGGTGTATTCGTGGCTCATGTGTGTGTCTTTTGATTGAAATCTCTTGTTCATGGCTGTAATTAAAGGGAAATGGAGAGCTTAGTTTAACTCTGTCCTTTTTTCTACTCTTTGATTAAAGGGTAGTCCATGATGGTAAGTGTCATAAAGGTCCTCTGAACTCTACTCCTCCAACCACATGACCTCAGGAATCTCCCCCTCATTGGCTGCCCTTCTCGAGACAGCCAATCCAGTGAGAGCTCTCTGCCCGAGAATCACTGAAGGGGGCCTTTTCCAGCTGCCAGCAGCATCTTGTTTTCTTGCTGTTGTCCAAAAGGATTTGTATTTTGTTTTTGCTCAAGTCTCAAGTTTTATCTCTACTTTAATTTTTAAAAGGTAGTTTTTTTTAAAGAAATGATTATCAACTGATAGATGTAGGTGGTACAAGTAGTTTTTGTTTTGTTACTTAATGTAATTTAAGTTACTAAGTCACCTAAAAATGGAAATTGTCATTTCATATGGTGTTTTTTCAAGCATATATGATTTTTTTTTTAGAATTGTGAATGTTGCTATTTTCCATACTTTAAAAGCATATGATGTCAAGATATACCAACATATTTGATAAAACTCATACTCTTAGATCTCATGTGTTTCTGACAATTCGATATTAGTATGTCACTTTTGTTGACTCGCTCTGTAAAATATTTCTTAAGAAGACCGGAGGTAGTTTAGTTGATCAAAGATCAACATCTGTACTTGTATTCACCATTTTCCATAAATATTGAAAAGACTTATCTGGATAAGGTTCTGCTGAGGAAGATTTGTTTATTTTGTGGTAAAATTTTGAATTTCCTGTAGGCAAAGCTTTCCTTTGACTTGTAACATGGCACACAATGTGCGTTTTCATGCTTTAACGTCAAGGAATATTTTTTACTAGCTATGTTTCTATTAGGGCTTGGCAATATATCAAAAATACAATCGCAATAATTATTATCCATATTGAATGCAGCGAAACTGGACCTCTTTGACCATACACAAACATCACACATTTCAGGGGAAAACAGGTCAGTTGAGAGGTGGCATAGAAAAATAGGAAAAAAGATACTTTGGTGAAAAAAGGAAGTAAATATTAACACACTTTTAAATTCCTATTGTTGCACATTTCTGCTGTGTGATTGGCTCTTAGATCAGTATAGAGCAAATAAGTCCAGAGCTTATCATTGTTTTTGACATAAATTTATTTTTATCAATTCGATATAATATTGTTTATCGGCCCAGCCCTATTTTCCATCTACCTGTTTTTATTCCCATTTTGGATATGCTCATAGAAAATGGCTGATGGAAACAGCAAGATGCACATACATTTTGATAATGCGCTTAAAAAAATGTATGCACATAACTGAGTAGGATAAACTTTTTATTCAATAAGAAAAAAAGTGCATAAACTATGATTAATTCTTTTACCAAACAATTTCCAGTATGCACATTTAAAAAAAATCATGTGATTTTGTTACAAGAGATCATGGGGTGATAAAATGTGTGTGAATAGACAAACTGCAGGCTGACCACATTGTAAAACATCTGAAATGTTGTGTTGGTCATTCTAAAACACCTTAACCATTTCAGTATTAGTCTGTGCTCCATGTCTCATGCCTTTAAACATCGCCACACACTTATTGCATCTCGGCATTGTTTTCCGAAGTGCAAGTAATTTATTAAATAAAGAAAAGATTCACGCTGTATCTCCTACTGCAGAAAAGTACTTTTTTTTTTTTTTTTTTTTTTTTAATTTGGCGCCAGTTAATCAGAAATTGACAATTTTGTTTTCTTTGACCCATTGGATGGAAATGTTGCCTTATTCGCACGTCCTTTATGCGATATTCCAGTTTTGCACATAAATTTAATTTGCATCTTTGGATAGAAACATAGCTACTGAATAAAGCCCAAAAGGCTTATCGACTAATGCATAGTGAAGCACTGTTGTAGAAGACTAAAGGGCTTTATTCTGCTAATACAACTGCCTGGATGTACTTCATCCTGCTTATTACACAGCTACTTGCCATAAAACTTTTTTTTTTTTACACCAAGCATTGTTCTGAGCTGTAATGACTTACTAATTTAATTAAATGCAATGCTGACAGAAACAAAAACATTGTGACTTACAAGCTTAAATATTTGGATGTAAATGTATTTACAGAGGAAAGATCGGTTGAAGTACCCAAATAAGTTTAAGCGGTTGTTATCTATGAATATCATACCTTGGATTGTCACAATTGGTTAATCAGAATCAAGTATTCCAGATAGTTATGTAATTACATTCTTTAAGATTATGAAGTCAGCCTTGGTCATCATATGCTTTCTTCGTTGAGTGGGCGGTCTTAACCATCTGATTTTTCCTAATTGTGTTCCACTGAGTAAAATGTCATGGGTTTAGAAAGGGTGAGTAAATGACAGTTTCCATTTTAATTATATTTTATAAATATATTTATACACCGCTGTTATCACAATAATTTGGTGTGAGGCGTTGTGTCCTACAGGAACTGCAACTTAAACCATTTGTTTGAAGCTCAGCTTTTCAATCTAAATCAAATGTTTAAGAAATCTAGTGTTTCTGTTGCATCATAATGTAGCTGTTTTTGACACATAGCGTTTGCTTTTTCAAAGAGCTTTGCTTTCCATATCTGGCAATCATTCAAAGCTGAAGTTACGATTTTGTTTGTCTGATAGTCTCCTCTAGTCTTGTGCTATAGGTGACGTTTGTTTGTCCATACCCAGGGCAGCTGCTCCCAGTCCCGCTTTGATTACTGGTTATGCATGCTGTATAGTGTTCCAAGTTGCATGCAGCCATTGGCTACAACACTTGCCACATTAAAGTTGCTCTTTCTCTCCATTTTACACTTTCATCAGCTTATTTTATAAGGGATAGTTTACCCAAAAGTATATCTGCCTCATGTGGTTTTTGAGTTTCTTTTTTCTGTTGAACAAAAAAAGATGTTTCGAATAATTGTTTGCTAGCACTTATCAGAAAAATTCTGTGGAAGTCTATGGGTCCCAGCAACCAGCAACGTTCCAAATATCTTATTTTGTGGTTAACAGAAAAAAGAAACTCTTAATAGGTTTTAAACCAAGTGAAGGGTGAGTAAATAAATTTTTGGGTGATCTATCTTTTTAAATAGGATTGAGTAGCATTGCATGCTTTGTGTAATTAGTAGACCCATGTCCTCCCATGAGCTTTCTAGTGTGTACATGAGTGCGCTGAACACATGCGCGTGCCTGTTCCCACCGCATGCCCGCCGTAATACTTGTACAACAACAGGAACGCGAGGCAGGAAAAGGACAAAGTTAAACCAAAGCCTCCATTTCTATATTTAGTTATTTTTGCATTGTGTTTCAAACCTCGTACATGCAGGTGAAGTTATAGGAAATGGCAATGTTGTGGTTCACCTTGTGTGTTGCAGGAACTACATGAACGACAGCCTTCGCACTAATGTGTTTGTGAGATTTCAAGCTGAGACCATCGCCTGTGCCTGCATTTACCTCGCTGCACGAGTGCTTCAGGTACTGAATCTTTCATCGCCTCTTTCTGTCTTCATTTATTGTCAAGATCTTGTGTTAATATCGGTCTGTTTCTCAGATATCGTTACCCTCTCGGCCGATTTGGTACCTGCTGTTTGGTGCCACGGAGGAAGAGATCAAAGACATATGTACAACCACATTGAAGTTGTACACAAGAAGAAAGGTTAGATTTGTTTCACCTCATTTTTGCTTTAGGCCCACTATAAACCTGCTATTAGGATGCATGTTTGGTGATCCTGTGACTTGTACAATCTTACTGTTATCCACTTTTAATTGGCCATCCTTTGAATAACTTGTGTCCTCAGTTCAAGACAAACATTTCAGTTTATGTTATGAAAAGTTCTAGAGTTAGCAGGTCCTAATTCTGGTTTTATTTAGTGTTTTATCATTTTTAATTTGTTTGTTTGTTTTGCAGCCAAATTACGATTTGCTGGAAAAGGAAGTGGACAAGCGAAAGATGGCGATACAGGACGCCAAACTGAAGGCCAAAGGACTGAATCCAGATGGCACCCCTGCTATCTGTTCATTTGGTGGATTCTCTCCTGCATCCAAACCATGTAAGTTACCACTTCGTCTTTATATTGTGTTTTTATAAGGACGACTTATTATTTCTTTATTTATATATATATATATATTTATAGATTAGACTAGGTTCTTGTGTTTTTCCAAACAATGAAAGTAAAACCCAAATTGTACTTGTTTATATGGCAGGGCCCGCAAAATCCGGTAAGACCAGACCAAACTTTTATCTTCACCTGCCAAAGGGCTAGTGGGAGTAAAAATATATTTTAATGTCTTTACATTCACTCAAAAAATTGATAATTATGTATGTGCTGTGCTGCTGATACGGCAGCAGTAAACCCACTTTTTTACTTGAGAAAAGCCACAATATAAACAATTAACTCTCAAAAATGCAGTGTTTCAATCAATGCAAAGCACTGAAGCAAACAAACACTTGTCACCCACACAAAGATTCATATACAGAAATAGCCTAGGCTAAGTTTGAAATGTAGTAATCATACGTGTTATATTTAAAGTCACTTTTACTTGTCTATAGCAGCATGAACTGTTGAAATTAACGGAACAAATCCGTATGTTCAAAGTATTTAAGGTTTTTAAAACATGCCATTTATTCAGTACAATTGAACAGTTAACAAAGAAACATTAATTTCTTACCTCAGATTTGTACAGAACTGTAAAGTTTAATAAGACATGTTTGTGTAGGAGAATAAAAGAAACGTGTGCGTTTTTAGAAAGAGAAAAAGTATTTTAAGTGCTGTACTTTAGCATAGTGCACCTATCATGTCTAATATTCATCTCAACATAAAGCTATTGCATGTCTTTAAAAGAATTTTTTTACCATTTTGATACCACTTTATAATTGCTTTTTGACAAGGCCTGATCACAATTTATTTTGTGAACTAAACAGTGGGAGTATTCTGCTTAACCGCTTTTTAAAGTTGACGATCAACGTTTTTTTATGAATAGGATTTTATTTAAAGGCCAATATATTAAAGAATTGTCACGTGATGTGTTGCATACATTTCAAGTGTTGAGAGGATATATGTTTGGGTTTGGTGGAAACTAAAAATGTCGTATTTAGGAAAAATTGCAAATGTAAGGGAAAATGCAAGTTTTCTCTTTGTTTTGTGGCTTTTAAAACAAAGAACATATGCATTAGAACAGTACCAAGGTGAATGAATGAGTCCGTTTTTTTTTCTGCCCAGACTATTCCCTTAAAACCTTAAACCTGTAAATCAAGGGAAAAGCTAACACAATTCAATTCTTCCTGCCAGCTTCACCTAATATAATGAAAACCGACGAGAAGTCTCCCAACCTTCAAACACTCAAGGCAATGAAAAAAGAACCAGAAGATCGTCCTCAGGGGTCTAAGAGCCCACACAATGGGTGAGTGTCTGACAAATGTGACTCAATTTATGAAATATATTTTAGGAAACTTGTACTGTGCTGCCACTTCATGACTTTACCTAAAGTTTGATTTTTTTTTTAACCCCAATTTGTCAACAGATTCTGTGAAATTGCAGAAAAAACCCTGAAATTAGAGTCAATCTGTGCTTTCACACGAATGTCACGCAGTGTGAATTATCAAAGATAGAATCACTGACACCTATGAAATATTTGATTATAAATATCAGTGGTGTTAAGTAACTAATTAACAAATACTCAAATGATGTAACTGAGTAGTTTTACTTAGGAATTGTAATTTACTAGGTAGTTTTATAAAGGTGTACTTTTACTTTCCCTTGAGTACATCGTTAGTGCTGTATTGGTACTTTTACTCCACTACTTTAACCTGCAGTCAATACTATATTTTTGTCCTGTCTATGGATATTAGAAAAATAAGCCCTGATTCCTGTCCAATCAAATCACATATAGAAGGTAAATCACATCATAATGAACTACCTCAAGACATGGTCGTTTTATAATCACAGCAAACTGATTGGAAACATTAAAAGTGTCCAAGAAGATGTCCAAAATTTTTTTTTTTTTTATAATTATTTTTTAGGGGTTTTTCACCTTTATTTTTGAAAGGACAGTAGAGAATAGACAGGAGAGCATGGGGAGCAGAGAGAGGGGAAGGATCGGCATAGGACCGCGAGGCGGAATCGAAACCGGGTCGCCGCGAGCACCGGAGTGCATGTGTCGACGCACTAACCACTACACCACTGGCGCCGACTGATGTCCAAAATTTTATACACTCATTGACCCTGAGACTGTTTAGATGCATGTCACTGATGAGAAGATGACTGATGTTTACTGTATGACCAAAATGGCCTTAAACACCCAGCAGGCACAAGACGTCAACATAATGTTAGAATGACGTTTTACCCCAGTGTCGTGGGGAAGATGTATTTTGTTTGGAAATAAAAATCATGTTTATGTCAGAACTCAATATCAGGTCAATGTCCAACATTCAACCTGAAACCAACCAAATATCAACATCTAATGGTGTTAGAGCTTGACGTTGCGTGGACCACTATGACGTCTATCAGATGTTGGATTCTGGTTGCAATACCTGACAAACAAATATCAGCTTTTGACGTCAATATGACGTTGTTTTAAGATGTTGGCTTAACGTTGGATTTTGGTCACTTTCCAACAGCCTAAAGTCAACTAAATATCAACGTAATTTGACGTCGTTATTGGACATCAAAATAATGTATTTTGACGCTGGCTAGACATTGAATTTTGGTCACCTGATTTTTACAACCTAAATCTAACTGAATGTTAACGTCTTATGACAGAATGCACTACAGAATGTTACGTTTACACACGCATGCACAAATTACAAGTAAATGCATCAGCTTTTAACAGTGTAATACTCGCTGTAATACTCATGAGTACTCTTGAAAGGGCTACTTTTTACTCATACTTTGAGTAATATTTACAACAGATACTTTTAATTTACTTGCACTACATTTTTAGGCAAGTAATGGTACTTTTACTTGTATGATTTTTCAGTACTCTTTCCACCACTGATAAATATCCACCAGTTCAAAATCCAGAACGTCAGGAAACATGGCTTTGGTTCCAAAAAGTACTGCTTATTTCTCTTTTTTGGAAAGGAGAACCCATGACTTTTTGATGTTAGTTTGGGATGTAGCCCTTCCAGTCTTGCTCAAGAACTCGAGGAAATAATGCTTTCTCATTATTTCCTATCACATCTCACATGCATTTTGTGGTGAAACTTCATTTGCAGGCCAGAGTTGTCTGTGATTCTATCTGCAGTAAAGTCATGCATCATGTAACCTCCTCTCACCAATCTATCACACAATGTAAACACAGCAGCACCCAGTGCTACTTAGACAGTCATGCAGTGTTAAAACAACGACCGCCTGACAATACTGAAAATCATGCATTGTGAACTTTGCATTAAGGACATTGATTGAACATTCTCCTTTTGTTTTCCTCAGTCTCAGGAAGGACAGTAAATTGGGTCGCAACAGTAGAAGTGCTAGTCGTTCTCGCTCTCGGACGAGATCCCGGACCAGATCACGTTCTCCCAGAAGACAGTAAGTAGCATTTGCAGTGAGTCCTTTCCTGTAAGCTCTCTGATGCTGATGATACACTCTGGATCTTTTTGTGGATTGCTGTCGGGCAATTTTGCAGAGCGATAAGGCTTGGCAACTTTCCTATAAAGAATTGACTACAATATAGTAGATCAGTGGTTCTCAACTGGTTTGGTGATGGGACCCACATTTTTATGTGGTCATCAAGCCGCGACCCAAATTTTTAGCAACTATAATATAGTTTTTGGAATTATAATTAATTTGTATTTATTTGTTAACATACACAAGTAGTAACAGACAGATCATAAGAAAATCACCAAGACTTACAAATAAACAATACTTTATCTCTAGCATTTAACAAAATGTATTGAATTATAGTAATATTACAGAAAAAAACAACATCAAATATTGTAAACAGTGGTTAGGGTAAGGAAAGGTTCTGTTACTATTAACTAAACTGAACTGTTAATAAAACGTTAACACTGATCCTGTTGAACAGAACAAACCATCAAATTAAATTAAAATTATTAAAATAATCATAACCCTTTTTATAATAATCACTAGTTATTTGCTCTTCTGCTATTGTGTGGGCTTGCTTGACGGTGAGCACAGTAAGATGTGCGGAGTGCCTGTACTTGTTTTGAACATGAAGATGTTCGGGAGTTTTGTGATGTTTTCAGCTATTGGAGACGTCAATGAAAATAGTCCACAGGTTTGTCCTTGCAACTGGGATGTTTGCTTTCTAAATGTTGTTTTTTGTCGTCAATATATGTAAATCCACACTTTACATATTCAGGGTCGTACTTGCAATTCAACATATTTGTTGCTTTAATTCAATGAAATTTCACATGTCAAATGGTACGGTTGTCGCACGCGCATTTTAAAATAAAAGTCCGATATAAGCAAAACAAGTAAAAAATTAAACTTTTGTTGTTTTTTTTGACCACACACTCCGCGACCCACTGAAAACACTTTTGAACACTTTTGGGTCGCGACCGACCAGTTGAGAAACACTGTTGTTGATGTAACCCGTTGCTCTAATTAGTGTCACACCTGGTTACCAATTTATGGCATCATTTCCCAAAGTTGCCCAACAACAGTGCTCAAAACGTTGCTCTGTGTATCATCCGCATTACTGGTCTTTGTACTTAAATCGATTGTGTTTTTTCTGTAGTTACAACAACAGACGCAGTCACTCAGGCACTTACAGCTCTCGCTCGCGGAGCCGCTCTCACAGCCGCAGCCTGTCTCCACGCCGGCACACCAACCACGGCCCTCCATCTCCGCTACTGCCACACTTAAAGTCAAAGCAGCGCTCGGACGACCTGCACCAGCACAGCAGACACAGCCACAAGAGGAAACGCTCTCGCAGCCGCTCTCGATCCACCAGCAAACCTCGCGAGCGGGACAGAGAGCGGGACCGAGAGCGCGAGCGGGACAGAAGCTCCTCAGATCTGGCGAAGAAGCACAAACATGAGCGCAGCAGCGGCGGCGGACATCACCGCGACCGGCGGGAACGCTCACGGTCATATGAACGCTCTCATAAAAGCAAACACCACAGCAGCAGCCATTCGAGCCACAGCCGCCACAGACGCTGAGTGTTTTCCTGTCACATCACGTCTGCCAGTGCGCTTGTATTCAGTTTAAGTGGTCGACGTTGACCTAGTCATCTGTTTTAATTAATTTGATTTTCTCTTGTGTTATTTTGGAGTTTTAGTTTTAAACGTGGAAAGAATGCGAAGCTACATATTTACAGTGTAAAGATGGGTTCAATGTTGAGGAAATATGAGAAATGCTTTGATTTATAAAAGCAACCTTTTTCAGACGGTGGGAAATCACTAGTTACATTAAAACAATTGGAGATTTTCAGGAACGATGGAGACTTTGCACAGGTTCATGAATGAATAATTGAGAGGCTCTACTGGTGAAGAAAATTGGTTTGTCTGGAAATAGATCACATTTTTTTTACAGGGGATGCAGACTTTTTTTTCTTTTTTTTTCTTTTTTGGATCATGGTGACTTTGTTACACTGGTTTTTAGTCTGCACGTCTTCATGTCTGATTTTTACTCAATAAAAAGTGACTTATTCCTACTGTAAATTGGTGTTTTGCTTTTTTTATGAAACTTTTATGTACACTACCTGACAAAAGTCTTGTCGCCCATCCAACTTTTAGGAACAACAAATAATAACTCGACTTCGAGATGATAATTTGGTATCAGAAGTGGCTTAATAAAGGTAAAGGTAAAGGCCTCTAGACTATGCTCAATTTACCTTAAAATCGTATCATGTCTTGATTTTTATTTATATTATTATGACAAAAAGGGTCAGACTTTGCTAAGACAAAAGTCTTGTCATTTTAACAGAAATAATGTACAGTACAGAATATAAAGTCATGGTGCAGTGGAAAAATAAATAAGATTGTGTGTGACTCATTTTGGAGGACTGCATCCATACATCTCTGCAGTGACTCAAATAACTTGTCATCTGGAATGACAAAGAAAGTTCTTGCAGGACTCCCAGACTTCATCAAGACTCTTTGAATTCATCTACAATGCCTCCTTAATCGTACCGCAGAAAAGCTCAATAATGTTCATGTCTAGTGACTGAACTGGCCAACCCTGGAGCACCTTGATTTTCTTTGCTTTCAGGAAGTCTGATGTGGGGGCGGAAGCATGAGAAGTGGTTCCTGGCCCCTACTTTGGGAACTACAAAATGAATTATAGTTTTACTATAGCATTTGAAGTAATAACATAGTAACTACTAAATGAATCATGGTTTTACTAACTATAGCATTTGAAGTATGAACATGGTAACTACAAAATGAATCATGGTTTTACAATGACAGTTAAAGTAATAACATAGTAACTTTAAAGTAAAATATAGTTTTACCATGACGGATTAAAAATAAATATGATTTTTTTTGTGATTTGTGTTATGTTGAATGTAATTTTTGATTGAAAATCTTTTTACCATAGCATTGCAGTGTTTTATCAGTTACATTTAAAATAAAATATAGTTATGATTACTATAGCAATCCAATGTTTGCACGAGAAAAACACATTTCCTACGATCTTTTTATAGCATTACTACAATATGTTTTTAAAACGACAGTACGCACAGAAACATGTTTACTACAGTCATAATTACTACAGGTGTACTATAGAAAACCATGATTAATTATTATTAATTAACGAGCGTCTTTAAAAACACGAGTCACTGATGGCCATTACATTTGTAACGTTATTCTTCAGAAAAGCTTTTTTTTATTCGACGACATAAAACTTCGGTCTCTTTTATATATATATATATATATATATATATATATATATATATATATATATATATATATATATAGCTTGTTTACAGTACAGCTTGTTACATAACAACTTTTAGATGTTTTGTGTTGTTATAAGTTAAAAGTAAAAGATTAAAAACATTGTCATATGCCAGCCGACAGCATAAAGCATTATACTGATACTTTTTTTCAGGACTCGGGAACTGAAACTCTTAATTTGGCATTTAACGTATTTATTCTTTGTGAGCTTCCGGTAGGGACAGTGGCTCAGGGCAGAGTTTCCAGTAGCGGAGTGTGCGGGATGGAAACGCGGTGTTTATATCTTTTACTGGTGTGTGTGCTGTCAGTGAATCACGCCACAGCCGACAATGGCAGCATTAAAAAGATGAAAATGCAATATACCGGATTCCCACTGCTGAAGTTTCAGATTTGGTGAGCAACTGAATGGTTTTCCGTTTCCTGTCACTTCATGTGCTGATCAAATGTGTTGATAACACAACTTATATTATTAAAAATGGCATTATTATGGGTCATCTAAGTGCATTTAAATAGAATTTTAGCATACGTTCTCCCTGCTTATCACTCAGTAACATAACAGTATTTTCCTTATGCCTGTACATGCTGTTTTATTTGACATTTAGACATTTGACATTACTCTTAAGTAAATTTTAATGATCGTAACTCCAGAACAAAGAAAAAAACATTAATATTGTTTAGAATTTATATAATTTGAAGATAAACTTGTAACGTACCATGTAACGTACCCTGTAATCGTTTTCATGAACTACAGTGTATGACAGAGTGTGACATTATGAGGTAAACTTGATTTTATAAATGTAAATATATATATATAAATATAAGTTCAGAAAAGTATTCTTTGCAAACTCTAGGGAAATCAGCAGCCAATGGCTATTAAAGTACATTTTTCACAATTAAATTGTGCTAATTTTTGACCTCGTACTTTCATGCGTTTTTCGCCTACTTGTTGGGCTGTGAAAATAAGAAATAACTAATAAAACATCCACAAATTACTAAATCTATTCATCTGGAGCTGTTTCACTGTAAATAAAGAGTTGAAACGGTCAGTAATATGTTAATATTATTTACAAAGGAATTATTATTATACTTTAGTATACATTAGTAAAGCTGCAAATAAACAGTTTAGCCTATTAAAATGAATAGCTATTATAAAAAAAATTAATCAAGATATCAAATCACATTTCCCTTTTCTTCACTGTATAACTTAAACATTCTGAATTAGGAGCAGCTAATAAATCTCTCCATTAGATTTTCCATTTGATTACATTAAATATCAGAGGTGTCACTTTAAAAACGCACACATCTATAATGACAAAAGTAACTTTTTTGCTCATTTAAGACCAAATTTGTTGTTTAAAAGAAAAAAAAACACCAAAATTGGCATGTTTAGATATTATTTTTTAAATGTTTTTATTATTATTGTTATTATTATGTGTATATGTTTGTTCAAACATGCACCCAAAATCCAGAGTGTCCACTTTCACTTCACATCTCATGTACAGAATCCATTTGGGAAACAGTGTCTATTTATCACTATAATGTGAGTCTGACAGTCACGCACCGCTACATAATCGGACTGTTTTGAGGATTGCCTATGAGAGGCAACGGGGACTGTAATGAAAATTCTGCCGTTTTTATTTTTATTTCAAAGTGTTTTCATGTCTTAATAAAATGACTCACATTTAAGAGCAGGGGGCGTCCCCTTGTGGTTTGGCGGTATGGGTTGCTTATAGGAGGATTGGCTCTTTAATGTTTGTTGCCACCCTTCATCGAAAGATTAACATATGAGAGAAATACAGGAAAATGCTTTTACGGAATGGTAGCGGGATAGAATTGTAAAATACGGGACAATCCTGGAAAAAAACGGGAGGGTTGACGGGTATGGTTTTTCGACTGCATATTCAGGTTAGTGTGTCACAAGTAGGGTTGTCACAATACTGGAATTTGGTACCAATCCAAACTGAAATTTTAAAAACATCCATTTCCAGCTGAAATTTCAGCGCTGTTGAGCACCTTCTTAAACAGTGCTGATTTACCATTGTATTCACATGCTCAACAGAAATGACTATGATTGGCCCTAAAGGTCATCAGTTCACCAAACTCACAGCTGTTCACAAAGTGTAACCGCAGTTACAGGGACCATTTCAAAGTCACGTCTATCAGCTGTTTTGTCTATAAGCTGACATGAGATTCACTGATGAATTGTGGCTTTAAAACACTTTAGTGTGCCTTTATCTTTGGTTACACTCAGTAAACAGTGGTGAGTTTGGTGAACTGATGACCTTCACAGCCAATCACTGTCATTTCTGTTGAACACAATGGCAAATCATTTCCCAGAGATGGGTTGCGGCTGGAAGGGCATCCGCTGCGTAAAAACTTGCTGGATAAGTTGGCGGTTCATTCCGCTGTGGCAACCCCGGATTAATAAAGGAACTAAGCCGACAAGAAAATGAATGAATGAATGAACAATGGCAATTTAGCGCTGTTTAAGAACGTGATCAACAGCGTTCAAACGTAAGCAGGAAATGGATGTTTTTAAAATTTAAAATTAACAAATGTGCGAATATAAAACAAACTTTAACCTACATGTGTGACTTTTGGTCTAACAGAAGGGGAAAAAAAACAGCATTTGGAATTGTATGTAATTTTAGGTAAACTAGTATTTTATATAGTATAACTAGTATTTTAACAAGCAGTTAATAGAGCTCTTTGCATGCAAAATGGCTTAGTATTATACAAACAGCTATAACAATTTGCAATTGGGTAACAGCTTTTTTTATTAGGTGTATTTTTTATTGGCCAATTTCCTTTGTACGGTGTCTCTCAATTTTCAGTGTTTCCTGAGGGTACCGGCGGGTGTTTGAAGAGTACACTCGGGTTCTCACCCAGAGGTATCCAGACATCCGCATCGAGGGAGAAAATTTCCTGCCACAGCCTTTATACAGGTAAATTTGCTGAAATGTGACACTGGACCTCAAAACCAGGCTTATGTTGCAAGTAGGGCTGAGCCGATAAACGATATTATATTGAATCACAGTGAAATTTATGTCAATAACAATGATAAACTCTGGAAAAGCCAATCACACTGCAGAAATGTGCAACAATGGAAATCTAAAAGTGTTTATATTCGAGATAAACTGAATTATCGGCCACCCAAAATGTATTATCCGAGAATATGTTATGCCATTTAATCGGTTCTCTATTTTTTGTGGCCTTAGTCATTGTTAGAGTTCTCTTTTAAATTTAGAAAGATCAACTTGAAATTTATATCGAAATATTGTTATCGTGCAATATGGAAAATAATTATCGAGATTGCTTTTTGCCATATTGCCAAGGCTTGGTTACAAGAGTATATTTGTAGGAATGGCCAAAATGACATTGAATGTATCAAAGTTATAAATTTTTCTTTTATGCCAAAAATCTTTAAAGATATTTTGTACATTTCTGAAAATATATCAAAAAAACATGTTTTTTGTTTAGTACTGTGAATTGAAGCATTAAAATTTGGACAAATTTAAAGGTAGTTTTTTTTTTCATTACTTTGATTTTTTTTGTTATTTGAACCCTCAGATTCCAGATTTTCAAATAGTTGTAAGTATGGATGCTCCGATCAGGATTTTTGCAGCTGATACTGAGTATCATGCATGGTGATCGTCCGATACCCAGTAATGATTCGGATTCTACAAGCTTTATATAACTTTGCCATTGCATAAGCACAATTACCCTTTAAATATGAGATCTCACCTTACCTAAGATAATAAATG